GGGTGTTTTCACAGAAGCGACAATAGACTTTTGTGTATTTCCATAATTAAATGGTGGTCAACATTTTCATTCAATTAGCATGAGCGCTAGAGTCTCTGCATGGCACAAAACTCGGGATAAAAATTTGCTAGAGTCTTAGGGGAGATCAACAGAAATAAAATAGAGTGCGAAGCAGAAGTTCAAAAAGACCCACTTGCAACTGCTTCTTCCTTTAACATTTTCCTGGGCATGTTATTCTTCCTCCCACCTTCTGACCCCCACCCCTCCAGCATTTCAGGGAGCGGAAATAGGTGGAAAAGAATGGCCTCAAGTGTAAATGAGGACATCCTCTTATAAAGCAACCCAAACAGCATCCCATGGCTTAAGCTCTACTGTTGTCTCCTTTCTTGCCATGACATTGTCATGTAGTCAGTTAGAAAGACCCCTGAGCAGTTTTCCTAACTTTTCTGTGGTTTGGAAGCAGCTCCTTTTATTTTTTTCTCTTGTTGGGTGTGGGGAGTGAGTGTGTATACCTTTGTGTTTTCTGCAAACCCAATTTTCCATGACTAAGAAAAAGGACATCAAAGGGTTCATTGAAATAGATAAAATGCTCCATCAAATAGCTCTAATAAAACACCATCTTGTTGGTTTTTGCGAAGATGGATCAGAAGCATATGGGCTCAATTTCCCTTGGAAAAATCTCTTGGGGAAAAAGAAAGCCGAGTGGTGTGGGTAAAAGGTTTCATATATTTTATCCTATTTCCTATTCTGAAGTACACCGCTAACTCTTTGTCAATTCTGAAAGCCCATTGGGTGTTAAGCCTAGCTCTGGGTCTAGATTAGATTTTGATTCCCAGGAAGTCCAGGAAAATAAACTGGATAAGTCCGAAATGATGAGAACCCAGCTATGGTACGTGTTGAAAAAATTCATTATGTTTTCTTTCTCCAAACACAAAAACTTCTTGGTGTGTGAGGCAGGGATGAGAAGAGAGGCAAGGGATTGTAGGAAGGGCTCAGGTTCTTAGCTCGTAACCTTTTGTTTGAAACCTTCCATCTTCCAGTGCCATCAGTTCTGAAATGATCACTAATCTCCAGTAGATCTCTTGCAATTGTCAAGCATTCTTTTGTTTGGTGTCAATTAGATACGAAAGAACTTTCAATAATTCAATAGTTTTGTATTAAAGGGCAGCTCAACCACCCATAACTTATCTCCACAGTTATCAATTGTTTTTATGGAACAGCCGAGGGAAGATCACTTGGCTAACTCACCACCCATCCATCACGGCTCAGATTCATCTCAGTAAATCTAGAGTTATGATTTAATTACCAAAAGGTTGGGTTCAAATACAATGCAACGAGACTTGTTTATAGAATGACGGCTTGTTTTTCTCGGTTACTAATCATGAGCTTAATTTTTAATGGAAGAGCATTGCTAGCATAATTAACACCCAATTTACATGTGCATCCATAGAACCAATTAATTAAATTTTATTGATGTCTAGTTGCTCTTTAAAATGCTTTCCAAATGCCTCCAAATTGATTTTAAACTGTTGATAGTGGAAGTCCGTTTACACTTTTCTTGGGTTTATGAAATACTAACCTCTTCCTTCATTAAAATATGTTTTATCTACTAGAGGCGTTCCATAATTTGCGAAGGATATTTTTCACAGCATGCACAGTGAGGTCTGATAGCAATGCCAGTTAGAGCAGTGTGTGAAGCAAATTCTGCAGTGCTTGTGGGCTACATACAGTTAGTTGGCCCCAAGAATCTGAAAATGAAGAAAATGAGAGTGCCCGTTGAAACCAGGGTAGAGATAGACAAAGTCAACTGCAAGAGACCAGAAGGCTTCTGGAATAACAGAATGTGACTGTGACTTGCTGGGGATCCTGGCAGGCCTAATGGAAAAGTGCTTTCCTCTTCAGAGATTGAGCTGAATGTAATTTGCTGTTAGAACTTAATTTTTTGCTACAGAGGCATCGCTACACTTTGTGGTATCAACTTTGAGTGCGTGGACTTTGTAATTCCTTAAGAATGACAATCACTGGCCGGCGCCGCGGCTCACTAGGCTAATCCTCCGCCTAGCGGCGCTGGCACACCGGGTTCTAGTCCCGGTTGGGGCTCCGGATTCTGTCCCGGTTGCCCCTCTTCCAGGCCAGCTCTCTGCTATGGCCAGGGAGTGCAGTGGAGGATGGCCCAGGTGCTTGGGCCCTGCACCCCATGGGAGACCAGGAAAAGCACCTGGCTCCTGGCTCCTGCCATCGGATCAGCGCGGTGCGCCGGCCGCAGCGCGCCGGCCGCGGTGGCCATTGGAGGGTGAACCAACGGCAAAGGAAGACCTTTCTCTCTGTCTCTCTCTCTCACTGTCCACTCTGCCTGTCAAAAAAAAAAAAAAAAAAAAAAAAGAATGACAATCACTAATGCAAACGAACATTTCTGGCCATCTTAATCCAATGCCAGTAAACATTAAATTCATACCTGCGCTCTTCTACTCACCAGGAAATTATCCGATGGCAATATGGCTTCCATATACAGACGTACCTATATACAGTAAGAGAAAGGCAATGTGCCTGCCGCTTTGTGAGGTGAACCAATCATGACATCTTTGAATTACATTAAGTTCCACTAGAAGAAAAGATTGGTCAAGCATCCTTGACAGCCCCAGTGCCTTACAAATCCCCTAGAAACAAAGCCCTAAGCATGGCTAAGACCTGACTGTTTCCCTTATCCCCACAACCTTTATCAAGTTCATGTCTTTCCTGGGCTACTGCAACAGCCTGTTACTTGTTGGCCTCATCTCTAGCTTGGAAGGTGCCAATCTGGTCTTTGTATTATGGATGAAATGATGTATGAATCACTAACCTCTCTCTTCCAAACATCTGCACACACACATGCGCGCACACACACTTAATACTTCATGACTTCCAATGCTGTCTTGTTCAATACAACATGTCAATAAGGCTCCAAATGATTAGGCCACTACCTATCCATCTAGCCCTAGCTCCATGTCACATGACACTTGCTGTCCCTGCTCCAGCTATATTGAATCTTCTTCAGTTCCATGTATAAAACAACCTTTCCTATTATTATGGAACCTGCCAAAGTGCAATTTTATTTATTTTGAGAGAGCAAGCAAGAGGGAGAGAGAGAGAGAGAGAGAGAGAGAGAGAGAGAAATCCCTTCTGCTGTTATACTTCCCAGATTCTTGAGACTGATTAGAGCTGGCATGGAGCTGAATCCAGGAGCTAGGAACTCAGTCCCCGTCACCCACATAGGTGGCAGGAATCCATCCACTTGCACCATCACTCCTGCCTCCCAGGATCCAGGAACTAGATCTGGTTATCAAGTCCAGGTACTCTGATATGGGACATGGGCATATTAACTGCTGCCTTAGCCACTGGCATAAATGCCCACATTCAAAATATAATTTTAAAATATTTATTTGTTTGAAAGAGGCTGGGAGAGAGAGAGAGAGAAAGAGAAAGAGAGAGAGAGAGAAAGAAAGAGAGATATATTCCATCAACTGGTTCACATCCTAGATGCCCACAAAAGCTGAGTCTGGGCCAGACTGAAGCCAGGAGCCTAGAACTCCCTCTGAGTCTCCCTTGTAAGAGTGACAGGGCTCTAAGCACTTGCACCAGCACCTCCTGCCTCCCAGGGTGCACACGCCAGCAGGAAGCTGGAATTGTAAGTAGACTTGAGACACAAATCCGGGCACTCCAACATGGGATGTGGGTATCCCAAGTGGTTATGTTTACCACTCCACTGAACACCTGCCCTGAAGTGTAATTTTTAACAAGTCATTTACAAGACTCTCATACACACTCAAAGTGACCAGGTGCAAACTGCTCAACTCATTAATGAAAGAACCAATAAGATGGTAAAGCTGAGGCCAAGAGTGAGAATTGAGTATTTATTGGAAATGGAAAAAGAATGCTGAAATAAGATTGCTAGTTTAGATACAGAAGTGGTTAATGGACTACAGCACAATGAAACCATAACCTTCGAGTTAGTTTTTGTACCAGCAGAAATCATTTGCATCTCTGCCAGACAAAAATATATTCAAGTTAATTGCACCTTTCCAGAGTCTGGGCCCTAATCAATATTAAACACGGGTAGACTCTCTGAGAACAGAGGTTGGTGTAGTATGGCCTGTAGGCCAAATAGAACTCAGGGCATGTCTTTGTATAACTTCAGAGCAAATTTTTTTTTTTACATTTTTAAAGACTTTTAAAATATTGTTCTCAAAGAATACTATATGACAAATACCATATTAGGCTTTTTTATAAAAAGATGTATATAAAGATGGCACATATTGTGTTTGTAATGCAAAATTTTCAAAAGAACTTTTTTTAAGAGATGTATTTATTTATTAGAAAGTCAGAGCTACAGAGAGGCAGAAGCAGAGGCAGAGAGAGAGAAAGAGAGAGAGAGAGGTCTTCCATCTGCTGGTTCACTCCCCAAATGGCCGCAACAGCCAGAGCTGGGCCAATCAGAAGCCAGAAGCCAGGAGCTTCCTCCAAGTCTCCTATGGGGGTGCAGGGGCCCAAGGACTTAGACCATCTTATACTGCTTTCCCAGGCCAGAACAGAGAGTTGGATCAGAAGTTGAGCATCCGGGACCCGAACCGGCACCCATACGGAATGCTGGCATGGCAGGCCAGGCTTTATCCCCTACACCACAGCACCGGCCCCATGGCTTGATTTGCAAATAAAGCTGAGAATATTTACCAGCTGAGCCTTTACTGGCCCTGTCCTACAGAACAGGACATCCTCCAGTGAACCCAAGGGAGCATTCCACTCTCACTAGATAAAGACAGGCATGTGTCCTTCTGCCTTACCTCCAAGTTTTTGGATATTGCAAAAAATTAGACTTTGTAGTTACACTCTTTCTGCTTAGAATGTTCTTCCTCCTCTTATCACTGAGTTAACTCTAATCCCCTTTCAGATTTCAGCTTCACAGTCATTCCCTCCAAGAAGCTTTTCCTGGTTTGCCAGACTGAATCATTTTCCCTTATTTGCAGGCTCTGTCAACTCTTGGCCTCAGTGGCACCTGTCGCTGGGACAGTTATTTGTGGGACTCCCCATCAATATGGTGAACCACCTCTAGGAAGGCGATGACAGTGCCTGGTTGCCTTTCTGGCTCCAGGGCCTGTCATGGTATCTGGTTGTTAGTAAGCAGATACTCAACAAATGTGTGCCAAATAAATGAACAAAGGTATGGTATTCTCATGGACCACATCAGTATTCTGGTGTGTGTGTGTGTGTGTGTGTGTATTTGTGTGTGTAGTGTATTAGTGAGAGCAAACCAGCTTTTAACTCTTGGAAGCTTTAGACATTCACAATTGCAACCTATTGGGCTTTTGATCTAGAAGATTAGATCAAGGGATACTGTAAAATCCTCAAGATTGTATGCAGCGAATCTTTATGCAAGAACCATTACTTAGGCTTAGGTGATTCGTGGTTTTCTCCTAAAAATACTGCTGGCCATTGATGAGGGAAGGCATGAGCTGGGTCTCCAATGTAGCTTTCATGGTGTGATCAGCTAGCACCTTATAAAAGATGAACAACACCCCATAGTAAGCTGTGACCATGGGGAATATTATCCAACATACTAAGGAGCACCGGGATTAAAATAGAAATAACGATGTTAACATGAGACTTCCACGGCTTGCTCAACAGTGGAGACGGTTTGCATGTATTTTTGGGTCTCACTGAGTGTAAAGTTGATGCTCGTTAAAAAGACATCACTTCACTATAAGATTATTTAGTGTAAAGCTACTGGAATGTAAATTGGCTTCCTTTAGCTTAACACTAGGAACAAATCTGAACTTAATACATATGGGGACTCAAGAGTTTCATTTGAACTTACCCTTGGTGTGTCAAAGACCAGTGAAATTTGGTAAGCTCCTGGGATTTGGAGGTGAGGGGTCTCCTGAGAAGTTGTGTGGCTTAAATGTTTAGCTCTCCATGGAGACTGAAGATTTTTTTTTTCTTTTTGATATAACCAGGAACTCCAGCTGAAAGTGAAGTAGTGAGGATTGTAGATCTAGATCCACAAGCCCCTTGAAACTCTCCCTAAGGTGGTCAAAGGTGAGAAGCGACCCAGGAGCTTGCACAATTCAGCCATAGGCATCGACTCACAACACAGATTAGAAGGAAATACGATTTGTAGCATACAATTTGTAGCATGATAGATCTGGATTTTCGTCTTGCCTTTTTTTTTCTAACTGTGATATTGGACAAGATTCTTATTCCCTGAGTTGTGGCTTTGTTGTTTGTAAAACACACACGATAATATCATCAATACAGTGTCATTGCTGAAATTCATGGAGAAAAAGAATGCAAGATGCCTTACAGTATACCTGACCCTTCAAGCATACTCAGTAAAACCAGTATCTTTGGTTAAGCTTCTATTATATAGTTTTGCATGAATAACTTGACTTAAAATAATAAAGATGAAAAATAGGTGAAAACTTATGAGACAAACATCAGTAGAGTTTGGGGGACAGTATAATGGCAGAGCTGAAATGGAAACTCTTGTCTCCAAAGCCATTCCTTTGCAACTGTATCACACAGCCCTTCGGGAATGCACCGTCTTGGTCACAAAGCAGTGTGTTCTGGGGTCTCCGCCCCCCGAGCTGGAAAGTTCGCCCTGCAGAGTTTCTGACTGGTTGCTAAGAAACCCCCAGGGACTACACTTGCAGAACCTTTGCCCTCCGGGATGGTGGAGCAGCAAGTGGAGGAAGCCTGGAGTGCTGAATAACTACGTGGACCCGAGCTGCCCATGGCACAGAGACGGTCTGCTCTCCTGAGAACTTCTATGAGAGACCATGCATTTCTGCCTTCTGTAAACTAACAAATTTTGCTTAAGATCTAGATGATGTCCCGCCTTCTCCAGTCGCTTCACCATGCTGGGATTTTCTTTCGGTTGAACTCCTATCATCCTTGCCATCAGAGGCACAAAGCTCACCAGTTTTGCAACTGGTTCAAATGTTCCGAATGTTAAGGCCACCCTGTGCCTTAAATATTTTTTCTTTGTTTTTCACTCTGTTCAGCATAAGTCTGAGCATATGGTAAATACTTAGTGAATAGTTGTTAATAATAGGGTAAATGGAGAGTTCATATAGACACCATAAATAATTTTATAAAAAGGAATTCATAAAGCACACATATGAGAACTGTCTTGAAACATGCTGTGAGCTTCCTTTAGGGGCTCTGAGAGCAAGAAATAAAGTTGCATTGCTGTTATTTCATGTGGTGCCATTTATAATCCACAGATTGGTGGAGAGGATCTACCAGAGAGAATGCACCCAATGGGCCAGAAGAAAACTGGCTTGGAAATAAGCCAGGAGAACTAACCATTGTTAGTATGGGCATAGCTCCACTGATATTTGCCAAGTGCTGATTAAATGTTAAAGCAGATATGCATAGATCTATGTGTAACTGGACTTCAAAGCCTCAAATTGTCTCTGATTTTAATCTATAGAACATCAACATTCATATAGTAGAAGTTCCTATTAGGAGAATATCCTATCTCCCACCCATGAGAGTTACCCTAGAGGTGAAGTATCATTCCATGTACAAGGCTGGAACAAATCCCACATTACTCTTTTTTTTAAAGATTAATTTTATTTATTTGAAAGACAGAGTTACAGAGAGAGGTAGAGACAGAGAGAGAGGTCTTCCATCCACTGGTTCACTCCCCAGATGGCTGCAATGGCTGGAGCTGCGTCGATCCAAAGCCAGGAGCCAAGAGCCTCCTCCAGGTCTCCCACATGGGCGCAGGAGCCCAAGGACTTGGGCCATCTCCCACTGCTCTCCCAGGCCACAGCAGAGAGCTGGATTGGAAGAGGAGCAGCTGGGACTAGAACCGATGCCCATATGGGATGCCAGTGCTTCAGACTAGGGCTTTAACCCTCTGTGCCACAGCGCCGGCCCCCCATATTACTCTTTATGGTAAAGGATACAAATATCTTTTCATAATGAAGTAAAACTTTTGTCAGTTTTTAATCCCTCTTAAGTGTATCACTAATTTAATTTCCCTTAAGTGTATCACAAATTATAAGTATTGAGCAAGAAAAGAACAAAAGAGAAAATAACTCTTACACTAATGTATGCCTTTGCCATGGAAAAAAAGTTAGTTTATTCAATATCTGAGTTTTTTTGCTAACTCCTAAGTAAAATGAGGCAATGTGTTTGGGTAAGCATACAATCACAGCTACATAAGTACATATAAATTTGTATCTTTTGTTTGTGTAGTGTGGATGGGTGGGGCAAAAAATACACAAAAAAGCACTTGTATCCAGAGTAAATAAACAACCTCCATGTATGAATAACAGAAAAAAAAAATCAAACTTAAAATGAGCAAAGGCCTAAATTTTTATTTGTGAGTGCTTAAGTGGGATACACATTCACAAATGAGGATACAAAATAAGGAACAATCATACTGGATATCAGAGAAATGCGAATTAGAATCATAAGGAGACACTACTACATTGCCACCAGAATGGCTAAAACTACAAACAAAACAACAAACTCAAAAACTTGACCATATGAAATGTTGCCATTGTTGATGATACAAAACGTTGTGAAGCAAGGGGCCACCTGGTTCTATGTGAGATGAAAACACACAAGAAGGCTGTGATGTCAAGGATGGGGCTTCAGATTGATATGAAAAACTGGTTTCCTGAGAGCAATGTTAACACACGCTACCACCTACACTCCAGTTGGCTTTTGTTTTCATTTTTTGTTTGAGAGAAAGATATATCAAAAGTCTATCTCTGCTTCATTCCCTAAAAGTTCACAGCAATAGCAAGTCTGTGCCAGGCCAAAACCAGCAGCCTGGAGCTCAACCCCAGTCTCCTACGTGGGTGGCAGGAGTCCCAACTACTTGAGCCATCACACTGCCTCCTGGGGTGCACATTAGCAGGCAGCTGAAATTGGAAGGGGAGCCTGGGCCTGAACCCAAGCATTCTGGCATGGAATGTGGGTGTCCCAAGCAGCTTCCTACCCACTAAAGCCTGCCCCTACCCTGGTCCTCTTATCATGGAAAAAAAACAATATGTAGACATAGAGATAGACAAACTTCTGTTCACGTAATTGTTGCTCCAGGTTTTTTGTTACTAGCAGCTGAATACATTCAGTTTACACTAGAAGAGTACTGACAATGGAATTGTCCCGGAATCCTTTGCACTGACTTCAGATCACTGCTAAATGAGGCATCATCAGTTACAATTCCTGGAGTATCCTCAGCTCAGCTTTGCCTCTTGGACTTAACCTCAAGTGGCAACTGAAATTTAATGCATGGTAATGAATTTGCCCTTTTTATTCCTTTGTGCATATTTTCAGATTTCCTGGACAGCCCATATCACCTAACAAACAAAACAGCGGGAAGTGTAGAGAACAGAAGCAAGTGAAAAGAAAAAATGATAAAGGAGAAAAAAAAAAAAAACCCTCAATCTGTAACAGCCAGAAGTGCTGTTAGTTAGTGTGGGTTTTGTTGGTACTCCCCCTCGTTTCACAATGCAGAAGTGTAAGGACATACACTCTGAATGTCTCACTCACTGCCATGTTCTCATCACCAAGTACTGCACTTGCAATCTGACATCCAGGGCTCAGATCTCGGCTCCAGTCCTGCACAAGTATCTTAAACTCTTTCGGTCTCGGTTTCTTCATCTCCTGGATTTTTGCAGCATAATAATTGTAACCACCTCATAGGGTGGTTGTGAGTGGTAAATGAGTTAATATATAAAAAGCTTTCAAAAAATGTCTTGGGAGCAGGGGTTATGGTGCGGCCATTAAGCCATGATCTTGGGATGCCTGCATCCCATATGGGAGTGCCTGGGATTGAGTCTCCTCTCTGCTTCCAATCTAGCTACCTGCTAACACATCTTGGAAGCAGGAGATGATGGCCCAAGTATTTGGGTTATTGCCACCACGTAGGAGACTCAAATGGAATTCCTGGTTCCTGGCCTAACCCTGGTTGCTGTGGGCATTTGGGAAGTGAACCAGAGGATGGATGATCTCTCTCTCTCTCTCTCTCTCTCCTCATTCAAATGAATGAATATATAAAATGAATGAATATATAAAATGAATGAATATACCAAACTTAAAAAAATAAACAAAATACTGTTTGGTCTATGTAAGTACGAGGCAGGAGTAATGTTTGTTGAATAAATGATCCGTCATCATTTGTTCATTGTAAAAGAAATATTGGTAGAGTAAAAGCAACAGTCTTGTTCCTAGAGATTTGTTGAGTGAGCACACTCAGACTCCTTCCATAAGGAAAGTTTTAGGATTATCTGCACGTGTATCCACGTGGAGGATAGCCTAGGGAGGATGAGTGTGAGTGTGTGTGGGTGTGAAATACCAAAGTTAATGGGAATTTTCTGAGTCACATGGTTTGTGCTGGGCTTTGGTCAAAGCTTTGTGATGATGGCTGGGTTCAAAGACGATTTGTGTGTCCTGCATGTCTTACGCTGAGGCAGAGCACTGAGAGTGAGATGAGACTCCTCTAGGGTCTGTCTTGTGGGCCTTCTCCGTAAGAGCACATGGACGGCATAGGGAACGGGAACATATTGACCAACCAACCGTGGCAATACATCAAGATTTATCATCTTGGAGTAAAAATTGACCCCAATTTAACCTCTATTAATATTTATTTCTCAAGTCAATAAATCTAGAATTTGTCTTAGCAAAAGTCAATATCAGTTAAATTCTGCCTTCTCTTCTTAAGGGGAAAAGTTAAGAAGGGAACTAGTATTTGAAAATGTTAAAAAATGAAATTTCAGAGCCACACACAAAATTCCTGGTGGGTAGGGGCAGAACACAGCACTCCTATCACTTACGATTTGAAAAAAAAAAAAAGTATATTAACCCCAATTATGCACTGCCTCGCTTCTCCAGTTCACATCACTGCTATAGTGGATGAGCACCAGTCAGAAAGAAGAGGCATGGACCCACGTTCCAAGCTCTTTGTGGCCTTGGGGCCATCATTTTACTCCTTAGAACTTATTTCTTAATCTTCAAAAAAAGACCAAAGGTTTCTATTGGCATAGTTTTACTCATTATACATTCTACCTAAGAATTTCAGCTCTGTTACAAACAGCAGTGTTATATCTTTCCTCTGTATACATCTTGCGTTCCTGGAAAAAAATAAAATCATGTTACTAAATTATAACCTAAGTAAAACATAAAATTTGGTAGCAATTAAGAGCTGATAGATGAAGTCAGCAAATTCTTCTCCCATTCTGTCTTCATACCACCTTTAAAAAAATCTTCTATAGGCCTATTTAGTTTTTTTTTTTTAATTTCTAAAAGTTTATTTTAATCAACTAAGTTGGTTATCTTTGAGAAATGAAACCTTAAAACATTACATTTATATCCAAAGCCCTTTTGACCCTCCATCACCCAAAATCCCAAATCCAAACTTTCTCCCAAAGTTGACTACTATGATCACACTGATATGTATTTTATAGGCCTTTTCTATGTACGTATGCACACCTATATAGTACATATACAGATAACATTGTTCTTTAGAAGGATTCTGTATAATGTACTGAATGGTTTTCCACTTAACTTTTTAACAAATTAGTTTTATTTTATTTCAGATAGACACATTTCACGTATTTCCTATATACAGATTTTGGAATGCAGTGATACGTCCCCTCCTACCTTCCCTCCTGCCCACGCCCACCCCTCCCCCTCCTTCCTCTCTTATTCCCTCTCAATTTTTACAATGATCTACTTTCAGCTTACTTTATAATCATTAGATTAATCCTACACCGAGTAAAGAGGTCAACAAATAGAAGAAAAAAGCACTGTTCCTCCATCTCATAATGTCCATTTCACTCCTAGACATTACATTTTTGGTACTCTGTTAAGTTACCACAGATCAGGGAAAGCATATCGTATTTGCTGTTTGGGGAGGGGCTTATTTCACTAAGTATAATGGTTTCCAGTTGCATCTATTTTGTTGCAAAAGACAGGATTTTGTTCTTTCTACAGCCGAGTAGCACTCCACAGTGTATATATACCATAATTGCTTTATCCAGTCATCAGTTGATGGGCATCTGGATTGATTCTGTATCTTGGCTGCTGTGAATTGAGCTGCAGTGGACATGGGGGCTTCATACCACCTTGAGTCCCTGTAAAGCTTTGGATAGGAGGGGCAGCTAACTGCTAGCAATCCGGTTTTTTTCATTTTCAGACCTCTTGTGAACCTCCAAATCCTCCTTATCCTTCATCCCTTGCCTCACCTTATTTTCCCTGTTTTCCTGTGGCATAAACTTCTGTCCCCTCGAGACCAGTGATCCTGTCATACACCCCAGTGGCCTCTGTCACTCGTGTGTGATATATTCTTACCTTGCCTATTGCCAAGAAACACCACGAGACTCAAATGCTGTTGCTGTGGCTGGAGGCTGTTGAAGTCCAATTGCCCATGGAATGGTATGGAAGGGTGGTGGGGCCTTGAAGGAGTGTTTGGTCCAGAGGGGCCCCTATGAAGAAATTAATGTAGTTCCTGCAAGAGTGTTTCAGTTGTCAGCCAGTGAGCGAGGCCCCTCCCCTCACTCCTTTCCATGCATGTCTGCTTGTGCCTCTGCATCTCTGCCAAGCACACAGCAGCACAAGGCCCTCACCAGAAGCTGAGCAGACACCCTCAGCCACGCCCTTGGACTTGTGGATTCACAAAGCAAAATAAACCTCCGTCCATTCTGAACTACCCAGGTTCAGTGCCATAGTATCAGAGGACAAAGACAGACGCAACGCTTGGAAAAACATATTGTGAATAAAATACATGGGTGAGATATCTGTGGAGGCTTTTACGACTGCTAGTCCTCCTAGATTAAAATCCTTAGGGCTGGCTTCAAGTAGAGTACGGCAGGCTTTCAAGGCTTGATTTTCATGACCTGGGTACTTATGTGAATCAGGAAGACAAATGGGGTGAGGAGTGTGCTTCCCTGACCGATCATTCTAGATTGTCCACCCTCTCTCTCTCTTCCCTCGCCTCATGATTTTTTTCCAGAGCATTCTTTATTCTCTCCATAGTATTTATAACAATATCCCATTGTTTTATGTACTTGTTTACCTATTCATTTTTTTTGTGTGAAAATTCACATTCCATGAGGACAGGGACCTCATTTGTCTGACAGTTTTGACTTCTCTGTGCCCAACATATGGTTTATACTCAGTCAGCGCTGAATGGATGAATGAATAAATACATAATTATATGAATCAATATAGAACAAATAATAAATGTGGCAGATTGAATTAATAGTTCCTGTTCTTTTTCAGAAAAGATTTACTTATTCATTTGAACTCAGAGTTATAGAGAGGCGGAGAGACAGAGAGATGAGAGAGAGAGAGAGAAAGTCTACCATCTACTGGTTCACTTCCCAGATGGCCACAATGGCCAGGGCTGAAGCCAGGAGCCTGAAACTCCATCTGGGTATCCCACATGGGTGTCAGACACCAAGCATTTGGGGCATCCTGCTGTCTTCTGAGGTGCATCTAGCATGAGCTAGATCAGAAGCGTAGCAGC